TATATATATATACACACACACACTTGTATTCTTAGGTGCAGTTTATCTCTTTATTCTGTGTGGAAGCTGGACTACATGTGATGTCACCTATTTCTTAGTTTGCCAAAGTCTCACTGAAGTAGCAACTCTTCACTTGCTCTATAAACCCACTCAGAACTGGCTTACACAACCTTGACTTTACAGTTGTAAATGTTTCTCTGACTACTCTGTCCACCTTCACAGAAGCATTATACATCCACCTCCACCTAAATGGGGAATTGTTTCTTAAAATTTACTCTATTCCTGTTGATGCTGGAGTGACTGAGAAAGAACAATGGTTTTGAGTACATTGTGTGTTATTCGTGAAAGTTAAGCCTGAGTTTCAGTAATGAATGCTACTCAATCCTACTCCAGTTTTGTTAATGTCCTCAGGAGAACTGATGCCTTTATATTTCATCATGGAACATGAAATATTTCATGGGTTTTTGCCTTTGGATATTTTTGCAGATTTGCTGATTGCTGACATCCTTGTCAGAGAGCTGGTTATGTCAAAATGGTGACATTCCTAGTAAATGTCTTCTATTATTGATTTAATTTATTATTAAGTGACTCTAACTTTAAAATTAATCTTGTTTCACTGTCTTGAGTTCCAAGTTTATAATGGCAATTACTGTTATTACGGGTCCTTCAAAACTATATTGAAAGTAGACTGTTTTTTAGTCTCCAAATGACTAGTATTCTTATGTGACTGTAATTAAATGTAAATGCTGTGGGAATCGGTAATCCAGAGGTATTCCCATGTAGGAGTTAGAATTGTAAACTAGCTCTGTAATTGCACTTTTGGAAGAGAAATTCATGCTAACCTGTGCGTGTATATTAAGAGTTGTGTTTAAAACAGAATTAAGTAACTACCTTTTTCATTGTCTACATAAGAATAAAGCTATTAATTTCCTTCAAGTTATAGTTTGACATCCAACTCCAGGTTCAAAAGGATGGTGATAAGTACTACAGTTCCCACACAGTTCACTGTTATTTTTTGAAAAATAACAGGAATCTCTGTCAACACCAAGTATGATTTTCCTCTCTGCAGAAATGCCTTATTGGCATAAATATGAATAATAAAATAAAATGAAATAAGAAATAAATACTGAGTATTTTTAACTCTTCTCAGTTCATACATTGAAACTAAGAGGGAAAGATGCAAAATAGTTTTTCATAAACTGCAGCATTTACCATAATTTAAGTGTAGAGAGGATTAAAAATACTTTGTATATACCTTGTGCTTTTCTGTTCACTCCCAATTTTGCTGAATTTCAGAATGTGGATTTATCAATGATGAAATATTTGTTGAGCTGGTCAATGCACTTGGTCAATATAGTGATGATGAAGATGATGATGATGGAGATGACAATCCTGATGAAAGAGATGACAAGCAAAAAGATCGGGAAGGTAACAGGATGGGTATGTCTGTCTGCAGACTTTAAAAATAAAAACCAAAAAGCCCTTTTCTTTAATCACTTGATAAATTTGTTTAAACCCTTCTACTTGATAGTTTTTGGTCTAAAGTAGCATCATTTTCTTCACCATTTTCTTTGCCATTTAGTTCAAGAGTTGTACAGAGAATTCTATGAAAGGTGCTTTTTCCAGTTCTTGTTTGTCTGCGTACTGCGACAGTCAAATGCACCAGAAGTCGCCTATCTGTCTAATAAATGCTTTGGTACTCCTCAGAAAATGAAACATCATTATTCTCAAGTAGGCAGAGTTCTGAATTGCCATCTCCATCTGCTGGTGAAATAATGATTTCTCCAAATTTTAATAGTAGA